GACATACTTCAGGCCTCCTAAGCAATTAGGTGGTTTATATTGCTTAAAGAAAACAATTATAAAGACAAATCTATCAATAAAAGTTAGCACTACCTTCAAAACCAAAATATACTTTGGGTGGGAATGAGTTCAGTAAGGGTACTTCGAAGAATAGTGGCAAACTACATACAGGTGTTTTAGTTCTTTATTTGTTTTGGTGCTAAGATTGAACCCCAACCCCTGGGTACAGTTTTGAATTACTTTGGCCTCTTATCATTATTGACAACTATCACATATAGAAAGAATTTCAGATCCAGAGAAAGGATTTAGTAATCTAATAGTCTAATTCCCTAGTACTTTCATATCACAAGTGCTTAATAAATACTGGCAGAAATGAAACCATTCATTTCATTTATGACAACTGAAACTTGTGCATTTCTCTCAGAGAAAATATAATCAAATGAAAAAATTTAAAACAGGTGTAGTTTCTGCTTTACTAAAGGATTCACCACAAATTTGGTGGTAAGTTGCCACAGAATACATTAATTTTCAAAACTCTCATGCACAATTTTTTGGGAGCAAGGTTATGGCATAGCAGAAATTTTATCTTTCCATATGCATCTTTCCTTTTCAAGTATTAATACTGAAATTACTTGTTAGTCCTTGAATACATAGTAGACACAATAGGAGGAAATACACAAATAGTTAATATTGAAAACATGCCCTTAGGAATATGCTAAAGTGATTTATAAAGTATATGTAGAGATAATCAGGGCTTCATATTTTTCTTAAAGTGGTTCAAATACAAAGGCATTAATCTATGTGTCTGCCAGTCACTTCAACCTCAGATTAAAAACATTCCAAGTTCAAAGGACATGATGATTTCAATTTATAGAAAAATTAATTTTGAGCATTTTACAAACAGGAACTGTATGTGTTCCATTTTACATATTCAGCAAGTAACTGATAGTTTGCTGAATTTATCAAGAAAAGTATGATACTTTTTGGTAGGTATCTTTTCTTCAGCCCAGAGTATGTTTTACATTTGTCTAACACTGTTCTTCTATGTTCTTAATAAGCAATTTATTTCTGAAATATAGGTAAAATATATGTAAAGATACAATTACGTAGCTTTAAAAGTTGACCCAAAAGAGATCTTAATGGAACTGATGATAGGCAAAAGATTTTCTTGGCCCTTTTCTGATTAATTATAGTATAAAACAATACATACATTATAATTTATCATGCTTTGATTCTGTAACTTGAATTGGTGACTTGGTTATTTGAATCGCTGAAATTTCACATTAATACTATGATTAGAAGACTTACCACTAATTACCCTAAAACAGGGGAACTCACTTAAAGAAACTTACCTATTTCTAAATCAACAAAAGGCCAAACCATGAATTAGGAGGAAAAAAGCCTCTAAGCAGCTCAAAAATGATGTTATAATGTCCTAGTACAAAGGACACACTTTTTCTAAGGGACAGTCCCCTCAAAGTACCTATTTATACCCTTGAGACAGTTTTGTACAAGCTTTATTATGTAGCTTTCTTGCCTGCAGATTAAAAGCAGTAAACTTAAAGGGTGGGGAGGATAATAGAACTATGTTCATTGACAGCAGTAAGAAGCAACAGCTGATGGTGAAGAGACAGGCAAACTACAAAAAGACAATAGAATTAAGAAGCAAAGCTGTTCAGTCATGTAGTGTAAGCAAGCAGCCTTAATCACCATTGTAGGAATAGAGAACTTTACCCGTAAATGCACTAAAGTGAATATTCTAGTTTTGAAGAATATTCTAAATTTGAAGACCAACTGCTGTTGGTCACCTCATTGTCATGTCTACTACCACCATAGTGGGTCATGAAACCTTTTAACTTTAGCACTGTGCTCACCAGTGTTCACTATTACACTCTTTAACTCATTAGTATCATGTTAAGAATATCTATAACTCATTATGAGATTACATAAGGGTCAACAGTCTTAACTCTTAAATCGATGGTTTTAATAGTTGGTTCCTAAAATATCTTTATTTCATGGGTGAGGTAAAAAATAAAACCAGACTTTTAGGGCTGTTTTTCCTAAAATGAGAGTATTGTTTGCCAAACAGTATTGTTGTAAGAATTAAATGAGATAATGTATGTAGAACATTTAACATGAGGTCTGGGGCACAGAAAAAGAGTTCAGTATTATTTTAGCAGTGGTGAACTCATGCCGGCCCAAATCTTTTATTTGTAGGTACAGAAATTAAACCTCAAGAGAACTGACTTCCTAAGGCTCTACTTCCTAGTTATTGTCTTGGTTAAGCTGCTTAGCTGCAAATGTTGGGAGGTTTTGGCATTGGGGGTCCGGGACACGTGCTTGCTGGACTGCAGTGTAGAGAACTGAAGAAATCTGCTTAGATCATGAGTTGTTACGAGTGGCACCTATCAACGGGTGTCCGAGGTCCCAGGTTCGGTGCCAACACTAATCACAGACAGAAGCCATTCCTCTCCACGTAGCCGGGAACAGCGAGACCCTCTGCTACAACAGGTTGTCCGGAAACCCGCGGAGGGCGAGGCCAGGGCCAACTCCACTTCCAGCGAGGATGCGCACGTTACTTAAGGGCTGAAAATAACAGGGAGTTGGAAACTAAGGGGATGCGATCTCGAGCAGGTCTAAGTTACCCCACCCCTCCTCCGCCTCGGTTGAGGAGGACCGTCATAGGTTTTCTCATCCTCCGGGAAAGGCAAATGCTTGCTTCTCATTAGCACTTACTCCCAGCCCTGGAAGTAGGGAGTGATGACTTCGCCTCTCTGCGCTGGACCGAGGGCCGGACGTGCTCGGACCCTCCGGTCTCCGTACCTCGCCGCGGCAGGACCGCGGGAGGTCAGCCGGCTGCACACGCGCCCCGGGCTCGCCCTCTCTAAGATGGCGGCGGAGGCAGTTCGCTCACGCCCCGCCGCCCGCACTCCCCGGAGTCGTAGCTTCAGGAGGAAGGAGCAGGATAGGGAATGTAACACTGAAGTGAGAGGGCGTCTCGGACCGTCCAGGCCAGCGCGACCCCCAGTCTAGCAAAGGGCCTAAGAGGCAAACGCGACCAGGAACACCGCCGGCGCTTCACATACGGAGAAGAAAAAAAAAAAAAAAAAAAAAAAAAAAAAAAAAAAAGCAGCAGCGGCACATCCGGGCCCTCCACAGGGCCCACCCCGGAAATGATGTATGGAGCAGGGGCGGGGAGGTCGCCCTTCAAAGTGGATTCTTCCACCTCCCTGCCCCGCCATAGCTAGTCCCTTCACAAAGTGCCTGGGATTGCCCTTACTACCTCCCTCCCTTGTGTTAGCCGTTACTCTTTCGTGGCTCTGGGGCTTCTTTGCACAAAACTGGCTGCCGGGATAGACTGGTCTCGTTTCACAGGAAGTAGCCCTCGCACCATGACCCTAAATTCTCCCCAGCTTCGTCAGCGTTTGTAGTAGCATTACTCCAAGAGGACCCCCTAGTGACCTCAGTCTTTGCCAAGCCAAAATGCGCCTCTAAGGAGCTCTACGTCGCTATCCTATCCTCAGAGCTCCCCCGCCCCCACTTGGAGCTCCGGTTCGGAAGCTGTCACTCACAACCCCGAGCCCGCCCCTTCCGGCTGCTGGCCGGGCCCGCCTCCTCCCCTGTTCCCTCCCCCACCCCTCCCCGTGCGAGTGTCTCCCTCTCGCTCCCTCTCTCTCCCTCTCTCTCTCTTTTGTGAGTTATAGCAACCGTTGCCTTGTGAATCAAGCGCCATAGTCACCGTAGTCCTGGCGACTGTTACCCATCAACAACAACTACTCCTCTCCTCCTCCTCCTCCTCTTCCTCCTCCTCCTCCCCACCACCACCATCTCCATCACCCACCAACAACACCACAATAATCCACAGCCAAGGTGAATATTCTTCGGTCTCTACATGTGTGTGGGAGCGTGTGGCTGCGTGTGAACGCGTGTGTCCGTGCGTGTGTGTTCGTGTGTGCGAGCGGAGCGTGGCTGTACCGGGTCTCCCTCCTGACACCGGGCTGCCGCTGCGGCGCCGCTGCCCAGGGGCTCCGTCCCCCGGGCTTGTTTACAATGGACCCTGCGCGCCGTGGCGGGGTCGGGGGTGTGGGCGCCGCGCGCCCGCTGCCCGCCGCCGGCCCTCGGCCGCCGCGCTTCGGGGATGGAGCGGGAGCTGGGGGGCTGCGAGCCGAACGGGGGGCGAGGGAGCCGCTGCTTCCCGGTGCGGAGGCTGCAGCTCTCCCTTAGGTCTGGGCTGAGGAGGAGGGTCAGGTGAAGACACAAGATTTTTTTTTTTTTCCTCTTTAATTCTCCTTCTTTCCAAAGCTGCTGGTTTCCTGCTTCTTTCAACCCGAGATAGACAACAGTGTGCGCGGGGAGGGGGGGACCCAAGAGGTGGTGTTTTGTTGTTGTTGTTCACTTGTGGGGCCTTGTTTGGGGTTTTGTTATTTTTATCATCGTCCATCGGTGAACTTTTCCCACCGCCTCTTCCCTTCATTTTTGCCCCTCTTTGCCTGGTGCTGAATGGGCTGCTCTTCTTTGACCATCATCAGCTTCATGGTTTTCTTTCTTATTTATTCCTTCTTTTAAAACTGTATTTTCTTTGTGCTGCAAACAGTCTTAATATCTATTCAGAACTCTTCCCTTCTCCTCTTTCTTCTCCCCCCCACCCCTACACACATTGAAACCAGGGGCCTCTTCGCTGGGCTCTGTTGCATTGGAAAGGTTTTTTTTTTTTTTAAGTCAGTGCGATTCTCTCTCTCTCTTTCTCTCTCTCTCCCTCCTCTCTTCTCTTTCTCTCTCTCCCTCTTTCCCTCTCTCTCCCTGCACTTGTGATTTGTACCGGATGCAGGGCATCTGTGATACTTGGGTTAGTAGTTACTGACAGTGCTTTATCCTTCATGTGCAGAAGGGAGGGGTAGTCGTGAGGTTCCATTTCACTTTGATGAGCCTCCCTCCCTCCCTCCCCACAGTAGTGTTAACAGTTTTCATTGCGGTTATGAGACTTCGTGTGTGATGAACAGAGAAGGACACAAGGAAGCTTTGTGAGAACTCAGTTCACAATGTTATCTCTGACAGTTATGGTACTTTAAGAGTTTCCTTTCTTTTTTTCTTTTCTTATTTCTGTTCCTTTCCCTTTGAGAGTTGAAATTGAAGTCAAGTTGTTCATAAAGAATGTATGAAGCTTCTCAACTTGAAACGTGTGTATATTTCACTTTCTTTGTGGTTGTTAAGATCTAGGCTTGTGTGTACTTAACATATTCTTTTCATTTACTTTTTGGTTTTCTTTGGACAGTGACTTATGCCTGCTCAGAAGAGAGAATTTCTTCCTTTTTAAGTCTTTCTTTCATGAAAATATTTTTCTATCTAGATTTCAATACTTACCAGTCCTCAACTAGTATCTGTTTTTATTGGAGCTAACCTCGTTTTATGGACCCTTTAATTTTGTTGATTTTTTTTTCAGCCTTCTAATTAATAGATTATCAGTAAAGAGCCTTGATGATGAATGTGTGCTGGAACAAATATAGTATTATAGTTGCACATATTGACTTTAAATTCAGACTTCAAAAATACTTATTTAAATATAGTTTTTTTTCTAATCGCAAACATATATTGATTTAACTGACAGAGCAGCCTGTGAATTATGTGACAGTATTAATTGTTCTTGAGATTGTCAGTGAGCAGGTTGGGTATCATAATGCTATTAAGAGTAATATTTTGTAAAATAAGAGTTGGGAGTTTGAAAAAAAAAAACTTCTTTCATTTTCTTGTGATTACTATTTTAAGTGAAGGTGCTAGTTTGCTTTGAAAGAAGGCTTTTTCAGAGCACTCTGACTTGTTTATTCACCCTCTCCTCAACCTGCATTCCATGCAAATCTCTAATGCTAACTTGGGTTTTTTTTTTTTTCCTTCTGTTCAGATGATTGTCAAATGTTTGAACACTTTTGGACGGTGAAGCTCCTGGGTCTTATATACTTGCTCTGAAGTTAATAGGAGTTTTGCTGTATTGGGATAGTTTTACATCTTATGCAATTTACATAATAAGTTTTCACCCCAATAGATTATATATATGCTATAATGCTAATATTTTATTTGCAGTATCCAAGAACATTTTTGACACATGACTCATTATGTGTATCACAGATTTCTTAAAATTTAGGTTTTCATTAACAAGTTGATTTGAAAGCAGAACTTAAATTGAATTCTATTATTTATCCAGTTTTAAAAGCATATATAAGATGTATAAGTTGCTGTTAGAGATACTTTGGGCTCTGTTAAGATGAAATTATTCATATGGATTGATTAAAAATCAAAAAGACTAACATAATATTTGAAATTCAGAAGAAGGGTAAATGTGTGGCATTTAGCTCATTTTTTTCTGTAATATTTTTCCTAAGTGGCACTATCTTATGTATTGGTATTGTTTGCAGTTTTAGAGTAATAGAAATCTGTGAAAGTGATTATTCTATGAAACTAAGACTATTAAATAGTAAATTATTTTGGGTGGTAGAATATCTTTGATCATTTTGTGTCATAGTGCCCATTTCTCTCTTTCTGGATTGTTTTGCCAGTGAATAATATTAAATAGTAATGGGATAGTAAAGTTTACATGTATGTACTAAACTAAAGCATTCCTAGAAGTTTTTCACCATTTTATAATGTCTTCATTACACAGAGGTAGTTTTACCTAATTTCTGAAATACTGTATTACTCTTCCAGTATTCACGTAGTTTTATACTCTGCTTAGATACTCAAAAGATGTATGGTTTGTACACTTAATATACTTCAAGCTTGAACAATCAGTTCTTTTTTTACCCTGAACAAATTTATTTTTTTTTTACCATTGAAAGTAATAACTAACAAGTGAAAGGATCTTAATTAAAGATAGAATCTGTATATTGTTTAAATGGTATACTACTTTTCAGTAACATTTTTCATTTTTCTTCAAAATCAACTTTTGTGTGTGCATTCTTCTAAACTTCCAATTAAAGAAATCAGGTGGCGTGTAATGATTTTGCTTTACATTAAAGTGTGTGTGTGTGTGTGTGTGTCTGTGTGTCTGTGTAAGAATGGATGTAGCAACCAATGTGTGGGAAGAGTTAACCCCTGCTGCAATCTCATAGGAATGCTACTTTGTTTTTAATATCCACAGTGAGACTGTTACAAGAAATAAGAATACCAAATAAGCAAACTTTTAAATTATGAAGTTTAGCAGAAATTTTTGTTTTTATACTGAGCATTTGGCTAAATACTGTTTATTTGCTCCCAGTTATTTTAAAAAGTTTCCCTAACTGACTCATTTGCCTTTGATGTATATTCACAGTTGCAGTCACAAAATGCATTTTAAATTCCTCTCTGTTCACAGGTGCATAGTGTTCCCATATTTTGGAAATCCAAGATTAAGTTGATTTTACTAAATCTAGCTTGTTAGAGACAGATGGCTGTTTAAACAGGTGTCACTTTCTTTTCTTTTCTTTTTTTTTTGTTTTACTGCATTGTTGGGACTTTCAGTGGTTCACAAAAGGGTTGTCTAAAGCAGGTGGCATCCTTTGCTTTTGTTAGTAAGATCTTTTAAAGTTAATTTTCTTAGAAAGAGTTTTTTAAGTATAAATTTTCAACTAGTAATCTGAACTATTCTAGATTAGTAATTTAACTCACATAGCTTTTATTTCTAAATATCACTATATTTTCAAGCTGTAGAAGTTATAGATTCTTCCATAAAACACATTAATCAGTTGTTACAAATAATAATAAATTCCCTTTGAATCCAGAAAAAATACATAGGAGCCTGTTCACACTCGAGGCAAATTTATCTAAAGCGAAAGTCAAGCAGATTTGAATGAAGTGAAATTTGGTTAACATACCAAGTAAACTTACCATCCTGTATTTAAATAATTTTTTTGATAGCATTATTTTAATTTCAGTGATACATACTGGAAACAGGTATTGCTTTTTGTTGACTCAATATTTTAAAACTAAAACATTCTCACCTACTTTAATTGCTGCTATAAAATTTATTGTGATCTTTTAAAATGAAAGTTGTTTTAAAGCATTAATGTGTAAAATATGTACTGGAGTAAATAAAAGAATATATTGATTTCTAATATATATTTTTGCTCTTATGGTTCTGTCCTTTTTGTGGGAATTTTATACATCTCATGACAGATGCACCAGAGGGTGCTGTGCTGTTTGCAATAGAAGATTATTATCACTAAAAATGTAAATTGATTAGGACTTTTATTTAAAGAAAAAAATTATCTGCGCATTCAAGCATATAGTATCCCATGTCTGTGAACTTTAAAATTTAATATATTGTTTTGTAATTGGCAGTTTTATATTAAAACCTGTCTGTTTACTCACAGTATGTATTAACACGGTATAACAATACCAAGATTGGTATATTTGGTGTAGTTTAAAGTCATCAGTAGGTATATACATTGATCATCTTATGTATAGTTCAGTCTCTGAAAAATTGAGTTCAATTTGAGAATCATACTATTTGGCAGTATGATTTTCCTCTCTTGAACTTAATATGGCACATATCAATGTATTATGCAGTCTTTTAATGCTTTCATATAGTGTAATTAGTGATAGGCTTTTATGGTATAATCTTAAAAAGCAAACCAAATCTGACTATAAATGGTTATAGTAGTTATCAGGCTAGTTAATCAACAATAATAAGATAATTAAATTTTTTTTCTAGATAATTCAGTTCCTATGTAATTATGTTAAAGTACTCTGGTTTTTAAATTTAGGTTATTAGAAAAGTTTTAGATTCTTTGCCTATTTTGTACCATATACTACTAAACTGGGAGTTACTTTCTGTATCTGAATATTTGTTCATTAAAAGCACTTTTTAGAACTGTTGAATGCAGTCCTTCTGGCTGTTTCTTACAACATTGACTCTTTTCACAGCATTATGTACTTTCACAGGGAAGTACTGAAACAGTAGTATCTTCCTTAAGTAAGCTTACAAAGGTACAGTTAGACTATATAAACTTTCATCTTGATAATGGACATATTTATACTTTTATCTGAACCAACTACAATCAGATGATGTTGGTATTTTTAAAAAGTAACCTTATAGGGTATTATAATTCATGTGTTGGAGTACCCCCAAAGAATCTAAAACAACAATAGAAAGTAACAATGTTATTATTCTTTTTTTGCAGGGGTGGTGGTGGACTGTACTGGTTGTTGAACTCAGGTCTTATGCTTGCTAAGCAGGCTCCCTACCACTTGAGCCACTCTGCTAGCCCTTTTTTTGTTGGTTAATTTTGAGGTAGGATCTTATTTTTATGTCTTGTCTGGCCTGAACTATGATCCTAATATTTGTGCTTCCTGGAATAGCTGGGATGACCAGCATACACTAATGTGCCTAGCCATTGGTTGATATGGAGTCCTGTGAACTTTTGTCCCAGGTTGGCCTCAAACCTTCATCCTCTGATCTCTGCCTTCTGAGTAGAGAAGCAAGGATTACAGGTTTGAGCCTCTGTGCCCAGCTGAAAGTAACAATATTTTTAAATACTAGTTTTATTAAAATAGTTTAGGTGTTTTTCTTTCAGAAAATACAGTTCTACAGTTCACTAGATAGTTTATCACTAAGATTTTAAAAGTATACTGCAAATTTCATGATATAGAAATCTTTATATTGAAGTCTTATATTTCAGATCAAAGTATAAGATGTATTTAATGAAGGTAAAAAACTGAACTGTTCTTAGAATATCAATAAATGGATGGGACAAGTATTTTATATACAGGCTTTGAAGTTAGATTTTAGATAATGTATGAGCTGTATGACCTTGGAGAAGTTAGTTACCTTCACTTACACTGAGTTTTCTTATTTGAAAAAATAGGATCAATCTCAACTATTTTAGTGGAGTTTTGTGAGCATTAAAAGAGGTAGTTTGTGAAATGTGCTTTGACAGTATTTGTCTACAATCCATGCTCAGTACCTGTTGGCTGTTGTCATTAGGAAATGCTGAGAAGATAACCTAATTTAACCTTTTGCCACCTAAGAATCATTTTAATATGATTCTTTGGCCATCTCTTTTTCATGGGACTGAAATTCTGAAAGACTTTGTCTACTAATCTATTGTCCTTACATAATTATTTCCCTTTCCCCACCTTTAAGAATAAAGCAAGGACATGAAGCTATCAATCACAGGTTTGGATTGCCATTTGATAACCATTGTTGCCA